GCCCTGCCCGGCCCCGCGCCAGGATTACATCCACAGCGCCCACGGCAAGGAGATGGACCTGCTGCGCACCACGGTCAAGGTGCCCGGCAAGCGCCCGCCGCGCGCCATCTCCGCCTGCGGCCCCGCGGCCAGCATCAACGGGCTGCTCAAGGACGTGGCCGGCGTGCAGGCACCCGAGGGCGGCGGTGAGCGGCCGGCGGGGCTGGGAGGCGGCACCGTCCCCGGGGCACCCTGCCCGGCTCCGGGCCGCTCATCCCTGTGCGCCGGCCGCAGGCAGCACCTCGCCCGTGGCGCTGAGCGTCCCGCCGGAGCCGGGCGCCAAGGGCAAGGAGCGCTCGCTGCAGCGCTGCGCCTCCGCCTCCAGCGCCAAGCTGCCCAGCAGCGGTGAGTGCCCGGCCCCTGCCCGCTCCTGCTTGCTAGGGCACAGCCCCTGGCTGCCCAGGAACCTGGGGACACGATGGTCCCACTGAGCCCCGGGGGCTCTGGTGGCCCTGGAGAGCCCAGAGACCTCCATGGGGCCTGGGGGACCTGGTGGCCGTGGTGGCCCCAGTGCCCAGTGATCACAGTGGCCCTTGTGATGGTCCTTATGGTCCTGGTGGCCCTTAACGGTCGTGGTGGCCCTTGTGAGACCACAGGGACCCGGTGGTCTCCATGGCCCCGGTGTTCCCAGGGAGACCTGTGGTCCTGGTGGCCCCAGCGAGTCTGTTGATGCCGGTGGCCCCGGTGAACTTGGTGGCCCCAGGGACYCCGTGGGACTCATGGGTGCTCGGGTCCCTGGGGAGCCCGGTGGCTCCGATGGCCCCGGTGACCCCCCCGCCCCCCAGAGGCTCCCCCCAGCTCCGAGGCCATCTCCAGCCCCGGCAGCGCGGGCAGGGAGCCGCCGCCGTCGCCCATGATGGACAGGAAGAAGCACCGGCGGAAGAAGCTCTCGACGCCCTCCAAGACGGAGGGCTCCGCGGGCCAGGCGGAAGGTGAGCGCCCCGGCGCCGCTGCCCGGGCACCGCGGGGCCGCTGGCCACGGCGGCGCTAGCCCAGGGCCACGGGGACGGTGCCGCGCGCTGGGCTGCCCCAGGGCTCCAGCAGAGCATCCCTGGGCACCGGGAGGCGACGGGCAGCGCTTGTGCCACCGCCTGCGCCCCGTCCCCGCCACGGGGCCACCGCTGCCACCTCCGTGCCCGGCACGTCCCCCTCTTGCTCGCTCTGCCAGTGCCGCCCCAGGCTCCTCTCGTGACTCTCTCTCCTCCTTGTGCCTCTCTCCCCCTTCGCTCTCTCTGCTCTCGCTGCCTGGGACCCTCCGCAGCCAAGCGCAAAATGTGGAAATTAAAAAGCTTTGGTAGTTTAAGAAATATTTATAAAACAGGTAACGCGGCCCGCGGGCGGCTCCCCTCGTGCATGCGGCTCCGCCGTCCCCGCTGYCSCCGCTGTCCCCGCTGTCCCCGGGGGATCGGGGCGGGGGTCGTGGCCGGGCCCTGTGGGTGCTGCCACCCGCTGCCACCCGCTGCCGTGGGGCGGGCTGGGGGTCCCCGAGGTGGGGCGGGCTGGGGGTCCCCGGAAGGGCCCGTAGCCGGTGCCAGCCGCCCGCCCGGGGCTCTCGCCCGCAGAGGAGGAGAACTTCGAGTTCATCATCGTGTCGAGCACGGGGCAGACGTGGCACTTCGAGGCGAGCAGCTTCGAGGAGCGCGACGCCTGGGTGCAGGCCATCGAGAGCCAGATCCTGGCCAGCCTGCA